TGTGGGGGATGAAGCATACTGAACCCCAACCACAGATGTTCCTGAAAATGACTAGCATGAACCCCACTATCTGATGAAGGAGGAAAACCATATAATGACCTAAAGCTTCCAGGTGTAGAATAATACGCAACAAGAGACAAAAACAGAACACAACAAACCTGAATAATCAAGTCTACACAGGTAGGAGTAGGCCTGGGCAAGTCCCCTGAAATCACATGCAACTGAAAAGCATATTCAGGAGGGGGGAAAAAGGCTATCCAAATTATCATCCTCCCTTTCAGGCACACCAGAAGCTGGTAATGACAGGATACTCCTCTGGTTGCCTTTTTTGAATGTTGCATGAAATTAGACAATACTCTACAGATCACAGCAATTTGCAAGGGCTATTAACTCAATTCTAAGGGCAAATTTAAACTAGGATTACACAGTGGAAGCCAGAATAATGAAGAAAAAGAAAGATGTAGAGAGGGGTATACTGTGGTTCTAAGGTTGTTTTAATGATAGGCTAAATTATTGTTCTTATAATGCTAAAAGTATAAAAAATAAAATGAATGACTTCAGAACACTGGTTGGAACAGAAGATTCTGATATAATGAGAATAACTGAAACCTGGCTAAATGTAGACAATTTTGATGACAGGAACTTCTTTCAAATATGTGATTATAGACTGCTTAATAGGGATAGAATGCAAAAAATAGGGGGAGGGGGAAAGAGTAGCTTTAAATGTAAACAAGTTACAACCTGTTCAAGTTGTTGTTATTAAAGCTAATAACAATAGGTTGAATTTGTTTGGGTATCTGTTAGTTGTTATAATGGGAAAAAGCTTTTGGTTAGAATTTGTTACAGACCACCAAATGAAAATGATGAAATTAATGAAAAATTTTGCAATGAGATAAAGAATTCAAGTGTTATTGAGGTTAAAATTATGGGAAATTTTAATTTTAGGCATACAAATTGGAAAAAATTAGAGTCAAATCATGAGGGAGAAAGGTTTTTAGAATCTCTTCTGGATGGTTTTCTTCAACAGTTCATTGGGTAAACTATTGGGAAAAATGCTATTTAAGATTTATTGTTAACTTCTAATAAAAAAAAACAGTTAATAGGATAAAGTTAGGTAACATCTGAGTGCAAGTGATCATTGCTCAATGAGATTTTAAGTTTTGCTACATGTGGAAATAAGGAATAATGAGATTTTGGTGTTAAATTTCAAAAATTGCAAATTTTGTAGAGACAAGACAAGAATTAAAAAGGCTAACATTTACAGGTAAATGCCACAACTCCACCACACAATCCCAACATGGCCAGTTTTGATACTAGAAAAATTTAAAACTGTCTATATCACTGCTTGGAACCTGCAAGAAGGTATCTTTGTATCAACTCCCATGTAAGCTGGTTCAAATGATATACAAATGTATTATTCATAAAAACTCCAAATTGTGCTTTCCTTGCTAAAACATTGAGCAAAAGGCAAAAATTCCAGAACTGTCTATAACTCTGTTTGGTACCTGTAAAAAAGTATCTCTGTACCAAATCACATGTAAATTGGCCAAAATACAGCAGAATAATTGTCAAAAATCCCAAAACATATGGTTTTTGTGGCATCTTGACCCCTATAACTACTAAAAATGGGAAAACTCAACATTTTTGTTTATCATAATGAGTTACCTACTGAAAAGTATCTTTGTACCAAGTTTTATGGAAATTAGTTGAAATAAGGCTAAATAATTGAACAAAACCCATAAAATTATGGGTTTATTTAACCTATTGACCCCTTCCCTCAAATGATCCAAAAATGGACATATACCACATTTTGCATGTATGTGTATGGGACCTGTAAAAAAGTATCGTTGTACCAAATCCTACGTAAATTGGTCAAAATACAATGGAGTAATTGTCAAAAAATGCTAAAATTATGTTTCTCTGGTATCTTGACCCCCTATAATTATTAAAAATGGGCATGTCCACCACTTTTGCTTGTTAGTGTGTGGGACCTAGAGAAAGGAACCTTTGTACCAAATCCCACGTCAACTAGTCAAGATGCAGTAGAATAATTGACCCCAAAAACCTATATTATTCTTTTTTGTGAGATTAGGCCTCCCTAAAAAAAAGGCAAACCAATATTTTTGTATGTCAATGTGTTGAGCATATGAAAATTAATATTTATGCTAATTTTCATCTTGATTGCTGTAAATATGACCACACAGGATCCTAAAATACACATTTTTGAGTTGTTATCAATAGAGTTCAGTCAAATTGGATTAATCTCACAAATGAGGTAGGTACATCAGGGCTCATTGTTAGGACCTTCACTCTTCATGACTTACATCAGTGACATAAATGAAATAGTCAACAGATTATTTAAATTTGCTGAGGGCAATAAAGTTTTAAGTGTTACTGATTGTGAGGAGAATGCTACTGTTTTTAGAAAAGGTTTTGGATTATTTGGCGAGTTGAGTAAATAAATGTCAGATGACTTGGATGTGGGATATCACAATTTGAATATTAATATAGTTTTTGATGGGAATAACCTTAAAAGTTTTATGGAAGAAAAAGATCTTGGTATTTTGTTCACCAGTCCCTTGACTTAAGCCATTCAAACAAAATGCTGTTGCTAATAGCAGGGCAATATCTACAGAAATATTGAAGTATAGATGTTATAATGTCATTGGTTAGGTCACATTTGGAGTACTGTTTTAAGTATTGGAATTGTTGGAAAGGGTTCAAAGAAGATATATTATTACTTTGGGAATGGGATCAAAAGAGTGTCAAGTGAGAATAGGTTCAGATCTCTGAATTTGTTTTCTCTTGAAAAAAAAAAAGATGAGTTAGAGGAGATCTGATTGAGGTTTTTGTTGATTGTTAAGCACAAAGCTACACAACAGCTATCTGTGCTGTGCCCAACACACACAAATTTAAACGTTGTGTGATTTGTCTTTTGAACTAACACAGATGGTGGCATGGCTCCGATCGTATTCCTAGGTCGTAAAAGTAAATTCATATCACCTCTTTGAAGTATTTCTTCTTTTCTTACCACCATATTCTACCCGATGTTATATGTAGCGTTAAATCTTGCATGGAAATTTCATTTTAACTTTAACTTAAGTTTAACGTTAAAGCAAAGGTACAATGTTGTCAAATTTCTGCGTTATAATTTACATAACTTTATAAGACTCGATCAAACTTAAAAAAAAATTCATAGAATCATACAATGATTTTTTACGCTACTCAGCCTACTGTCTCGTTAGTAATATTAATACGACGGCAGAAAAAAATCTATACGAACTCGTATTGTTTAAAAAGCAATATCGTACAATTAAAAAGAATATTAATTATTTACTTGTGGTCGTTTCAACAATCGTTGACAAATGTGAGGTAACGTTCCAAACACTCTGAAAATGTTCATAATTATATCTAGCTACACTTACTAAGTAGTTAAAGTATTACTACTAATTATGCGCTATACACAGCCCCGGTCCAGGCATCCTTCACTGGGTTATTTGGTAAAATGTGGGTGAATAAGCATTCCGTGTAATAATAATTTGACGCATAATATACTATACCCATGTGTCTAAAACAACTGAGGAAAGGAAAATGCTTTGGCGGCTCTGAAAATTTCTTTGCTACGCGAAAAAATTAATATATTATTATAGAATCAAATCAAACGAATTCAATAACATCACATTAACGTGGAGCAAAGGAAATAAGGGAATACAATATAAGAATGTATCCAAAAAAGAATAAGGCGCGGAAAACGCTCTGGCGACTCTGATAATTTCTTTGCTCCGCGATCAAACTTACATATTATTGAAGAAGGAAACCAGGCGAATTCTTCAATACAAAAATCAATATCAAGCAACGAAAATAAGGGCCTATAATATATACAGATATATGCTGTTATGCTACACACATAAACCCAAAACTACTGAGGTACGGAAAACGCTCTGGTGACTCAGAAATGTTTTTGCTTCTCAACAAAACTTATATATTATTAAAGAAGATGTTGTTTGTTATTAAGCACAAAGTTACATAAAAGGCTACCTGTGCTTTGCTCACCACGGGTATCGAAACCCGGTTTCTAGCAGTATAAGTCCACAGACATACTGCTGTCCAACTGGAGGGATATTAAAGAAGAATACCATCCGAATTTAACTATATTAAAATCAGCGTGGAGCAAAGAAAATAACAGTCTGCAGTATACGAAGATGTATGCGGTTATACCTGTGCTCTTTTTTTTTTCTGGGAAACAAGTTCTGGAACTCTCCTATTATCTAGAACCTTTTACGATTGTTACTGCATCCAACCCCATGACTATCCCAATCTAGAAGAATCCCTCTTATGATGTCTAAAAATTTGTCTTGTAGCAAACAAACAATAAAATAGCAATGTTTAATGTCTTTAATAGTACTTGGCGATAACACATTTAATGATATGAGTACTGTTGCATCAGCGAAGTCACATGACTAGTGTCACGCCACGTTTCTAGAACTATCCTGTACCTTGGCGAATGCTCTAGCATTTAGTAGATATAGGGTAGGCTGGTATATAAAAGAGGGTGACAACGTGACAGAATAATGTAATGTGTGTGTAGATAGTGAATAATTGAACTGCAGTCAGAAGTATTGTTGACGTTCGTTAATATAGCGTTTGTTATAGAGCGACTGTTGAAAATAAGTGTATCGTAAAGTTGTATTCGGAAAGAATAAACTAGTTTTATTAAATAAGGACTTGTGTCGCTAAAGTTTCGTCGGAACGAAGTTACGGAAAATCAATTAACAAACAGAGACTTAACAGTACTATGTTTACAGTAAATTACATAAATATAATCCTTGAAAAGTTTTTTGGTGTACAAAACTTGAAGATAGCTGTTATATGCGGAAACATCTGTTAGCTGAGTTCTTGCGCAGATCTTAAAATATAACGTTGATAAACGAAAACATCGGCACATGTAGATATGTAGATCTTGAAAGTCGAGTTGTTCAAAACTCGAAAATAGCGTTGATAACTGGACCAATTGTTGATTGAGATGTTGCAAAGGAAATATATGCTAAAGCTTTTCGCCAGACACTAATCATAGCACAACCGTCTGGAAAATTATCTATAAGAAATAGTACAGCTTATAAAATGCTACAACCATACATAACCTTAGCCTTGACCCTAAACAATCGTTTTTATGCTCCTTCGACATCAGCAGCCTGTTTACTAATGTACCCTTGGAAGAAACCATCAAAATTTGTGCAGATACTTTGTATGGTGGAGAAGTTCAGTGCCCTCCAATACCTAAGGACCTGTTTATTGAACTGATGAATACTGCAACACGACACGTTCGGTGGAATTCAGCTTTAATGATATCATGTATCAACAGATTGACGGAGTCGCCATGGGTTCTCCTGTTGGACCTGCCTTAGCCAATATTTTCGTTGGTTTCCATGAAAAAGAACTATTCAACAAAGTTACCAGACCTGCTGTTTACTTCCGCTATGTAGACGACACATTTGCCATTTTTAAAACTGAACAGAAATGTGAGTGTTTCTTACAAGACCTAAACTCGTTGCACTCGGGTCTCAAATTTACTTTTGAAAAGGAATAACATAACTCTTTACCGTTCCTAGACGTCTTAGTGGAAAAAGATGACTTTCGTTTTCTCACCAGTATATACAGAAAACCTACCTTTACAGAACAATACACACGATGGGATTTTTTCCAGTACTAAAAGTTGCAAAACGAACCTTATTGCTACTTTAGTCCATCGGCTCTAGTTATCTGTTCAAAATCTAAACTAAATTTCGAATTGAAGACATTTAAAACTATTGTTGCGTCATCGAGGTCACGTGACTGGTGTGGCGCTACCTATTTTCTAGAACTATCCTGTACCTTGGCGAATGCTCTAGTATTTACTAGATATAGGGTAGTGTGGTATATAAAAGAGGGTGACAACGTGACGAGACAATACTGTGTGTGTAGATAGTGAGTAATTGAACTGCAGTCAGAAGTACTGTTGACGTTCGTTGATTAGCGTTTCTTATAGAGCGACTGTTGAAAATAAGTGTATCGTAAAGTTGTATTCAGAAAGAATAAACCAGTTTTATTAAGTAAGTACTTGTGTCGCTAAAGTTTCGTCGGAAACGAAGTTATGGAAAGTTAATTAACAAACGGAGACGTAACAAATTGGTGTCAGAGAGTGGGATAAAAAAAAATGGAAACGAGAAGCGGCAAATCAAACTACAGCATAGCAGACTTGATGGCAGCAATACAAGAACAGCAAAAGAAACAAGAAGAACGAGAAACTAAACAAGAAAAGAAACAAGAAGAACGAGAAGAGAAATTACGGCAGTGGTTGGAGGAAAAAGAAAAGAAACAAGAAGAGCGATAAATTAAACAAGAAGAGAGATTACAGCAGTTGTTGGAGG